TGGCACCATGCCTGCCTTGCAAGCACAAGCTCCTGAATTCAATCCCCGGTACTCCCCCCCCCCAAAAAAAAAAAGATCCTAAAATTTGTATGGGGCCAGAAATAAAACCAAGTAAATAAAACAAACTCCTAAAGTGCCAAAGACATGTTGAGCATAAAGAATGAAGCACGCTGCCTGCCCTGCAAACGCAAGGACCCAAGTTTGATCCCCAGTACAAAAAAAAAAAAAAAGCAGAATGCATTACATTATCTGATTTCAAAGTTTACTACAAAGTGGTAGTAATCTAAGCAGTATATGGTATTGGCATAGACCTGTGGGACAGAATAAAGTCTAAAAGCAAGCCCACAGATGACTTTTGACAAAAGTGCTAAAAACACTCATTGGAGAAAGGACAATTTCTGTTGGAAAAATGGATATCCATGAGCAGAAGAATGATATTAGACTCCTATCTCTCATTGGTTACAAAAATCGACTCCAAGGTAATTTAAGACTTAAATGTAAGATCTGAAGCTATGAAAATACTAGAAGAAAACAAAGTGAACACTTCAGGGTGTTGGAATGGACAAAGATATTTTGAATAAGATGTTAAAAGCACTACAGAATGGAATAAATTATTTATAAACCATATACCTGAGAGGGAGTTAATATCCAATATATATAGGGAGCTTCAAAAACTCAATAGCAACAAACAAACAATACAAAAACAAATAACCTGATACAAATGGGCATTAAGTGGGATGTGTTGGTAATAGTCCCATCTACTTGGGAAGGAAGCTGAGACAGAGGATTGCTTGAGCCCAGGAGTTTGAGGCCAGCCTAGACAACATAGTCAGACCCTGGCTCAAAAGCAAAACCAAAACCAAAAATGACAAATAGACCTTGTTATAGCTTATATCTAGAAGAGCCCCAAGAGCCTCATAGAGTCAATCACCTTTTGGAAGTTGATTTGATTATGGAGTGTATAGCTGACTTGCTGTTAGGAGGTAGGGAGTGATTGGAAAAGGCATGGTTTGGAAAGATTTCTCTCCCTTCCCAGATCCTCTCTTCACTCTCTCTGCCTCCTGTTCCAGTGTTTCTAATAATAATTCAATGTTTTATTCACTCATATATTTTAGCACATGATATTTGTTAATAAAATTCTACTTCCATTCATTTTGTATATAATTTCCTAAAGCCTTGGGTTTCTCAAAATGTGATCTTATTTGGAAATAGGGTTTTTGTAGATTAATTGGCTAAACTAAGATCGTATTGGAGTAGGCTGGGTTTCTAATCCAATATGACTGCTATCTTTATAAGGAAACAATCATATGAAAACCCAAAAATATGAATATGAAGACCCAAAAAGTTAGAATGCCATGAGAAAATACTAGATTAGAAAAAGATACTGGAGTGATGCATCTATATGCCGAGAAGCATCTGGGCTACCCATAGCTAGGAGACAGCAAACAAGGAATCCCCATGTTTCAGAGGGAGCATGGCCCTGTGGATACCTTGATTTTGGACTTTTGTATCCCAGAAATTTGAGACAGCACATTTCTGATGTTAAGACACCCACTTAAGGCACTTTGAAATGGAAACCCTAGGAAACTAACAGTGACCTTGATTAATTTAGTCTCTTCACAATGCCTCATGCTCTTTCTTCATGTTTAAAATAGGAATAACAATTCTGCTTACCTAACAGGCGTTGAAAATTATGAAGTAGCAAGCATAAGCAATGGATATGCTGGCTACTTTTCTAAAACTGAGTGTTTAGTGATTGTTGGCTCACAAAAAACTGATATGAAAGTCCGAATATACTTCTGAGTACAAACACAGTACAAGCCCCCTTAAATGCTGTGAAAACAGTATGGTAATAATAATTGAGCAAAACCCTATGATCATGTGGATCAGGATATTATGTCAGAGGTGATTGGTTTTCTTTCTCTGCCTAGTTTGCATTCTCAAATCAGGGTGGATAAAGCAGACAACTCAGTTTGGAGAAATGGCAGGACAAAGGAAAGCCTTCTATCTCTAGGCTTTTTGTTCTCAGTCTCTCCAGTCATAACAAATGAACCGGACATCAGCCAGTGGGAGGATTTGTGGAATACTGTTTCAGTTCTGGAAGCCTCGAAGAACCATGGAGCCACAATTGGTCCCCTTCATAGTTAAGCCAGATCAGACAGTCATCACAAAGTCAATGACACCAGATCACAGCTGCAACCAGAACAATATTGATTCATGCACTGTGGCCTCTTCAGCTCTGAACTGACTGTGTAGGCAGGCTTGCCTAGTTATTTCCTTGGGATAATGTGACCCTGAATTGTAGGTAATTTGAAGTTTTGGACAGCTCTTGTCATTTAATGTTTAGCAAAATCCATCAGTTTATTGAAAGCTTTGAATAGATATTTGCAGGTATTAATCACTTTATCAAATGAATGTTTAGGAATATCTCATGTGGGTCATTTAGCAGATACTTTTCTATTTTGAAACAGAAACCAATTATGCAGCTCAGGGGATGCGAATACCTGTATATATGCAGTTCTTTTCTTTCAATATCAATAGATATGCAGATTGCACTCAAAATTAGAAAGATTGACATAGGACTTTCTCCCCACGGAAAATAAAATATAAATAAATGGTCCATTAGCACACAGATTAGTGCTTCAGATTCATGTAGCGTTTCTACCTGCTTTCGTGTTGTGCTCTCTTTGAGATGAAACATGTAGATATTTGGTTTTTTTCCTCTCCCTTAGCTTCTCTGGATGTTTGGACATAGCCTAGATTTAGGCTTAAAGGGAAATGTTTGACTTGGAACTTAATTCTTAAGGAGCAAATTATCCAGATTATATGTTGCTAAAATAAAACAAATTAAGGGTAACTTTGATTTCCACCCAAGTGGCAGAATTAGAGAAGTAAATAAGTGACCACTCTATTCTAATTTCAAGAAGCAGGAACCATTAATGATTGGATGGAGATTATCTAATTAGGAAGGAGGTCTCTCTACTTTCCTCCTAATGCCACCAGATTCCTTTTATTTTCGAGCCTCATAGGGATTAAAGACATTTAGCACAAATTTAGGAGTTCTAATTTTAGCCATGTGATTGGTATTAGAATCTGGAAGATTTAGTGTATTCTCACGGGGTTAAAATGTTGAGAGAATCAGCAAAATAAATCACTAACAACTGCAAATGTCTGTGTGTGAGGGCCTGGAACCTCACTGAGAGGATTCCTCATGAAAGGCCCAGTTTGTGGAACTACACAGTGCTGCATTTTACTAACATATAAGGTGGGGGAGGGCCAGTTACATTTCACAGTAATACTGCGGGCCTGAGCCTTTCCTTTGATATGCTGTGCATCAAAGCGCATTCTCTAAGATGTACTGAGACACAGGTAAGAGAGGACAAGACTGAGCCCTGGTTTGTCTGTTGCTTCTGGTCTGCCTGTTGCTTCTGGTCTGCCACACAATAAGCCCAAATGATTAAAGCATTTAAAAAGAAACATGAAGGAGCATTCTGCAGCTTGACAGACCACTTGATTTTTCATTCATCTCTACATTACCTCGATTAGCTATTGTACTAGCAGAGCAGGACAAGGGCATGGTACATGTCCACATGCATATTTCTAACAGCACAATGTGGTTCCTCTCCAAACCCAGAACCTGAAACATTCTCATTGTCACCTATATATAAGGTAGGAAGCATTAAAAGCCTTGATGTTTACAATTTTTATTATTTGAATAAACAATGTGAATCTTGAACTATATGAAATTGCCAATGTCAACTATTTGACTTAATAAATGGTGATATAGATAGCTCAACCTAATACTGTTCCAAGGATGGGACTGGAAAGATGGGAGTTTATTTGCTGATTCCTTTTAAGAACATGAATGCAAAATGAATGAAATGTTCAGTTTGATTCAAGACTACATTCTTTATTCCAAACACGAAGATGTTAATCTCCCCACTTCAATCATGAAGTACTTAATGAACTTTTCTCTGCTTTAGATGTATTTCTAATTCTTCCTTAAACAAGCCAAAATCCTAATTTCTGCCACTTGCTTTTTCAATTTTTGATACTGGGGATTGAACTTGGGACCTTGCACTTACGAGGCAGGTGGCGGAACCACTGAGCTAAATTCTCGGCCCTGCTTTTTCAATCTTAAATTATCTTTTCTTCTTGTTTTAGACGTTCTAAACACACTAAATGCAGGTCTGAAAAGACATATTTTAATTATATCTCATATTTAACTACTTAATCGTAGATTATGAGCAAAGAAAAGCCATATAATTTTTTTTCTGTTTTTCCTTTCTATAGCCCCTCTACCACTACAGAAATTTATATCTTTCTCAGCTCTCTCCCTGAAGTTAGCAAATACCCAATGTTTTAGCTATACAAAAGGAAGCAAGCGTCTCCCAGTGTCATTTTGTCAAATGAACTGCAGAGCTCTTCCAGAGGTGACTTGCTTTGGGCTCTTTCACACTCACATTAATAATGAAAATGGCATCTGCTATTTAAAGGACTCCTGGTAAGGATACCATTCTGGATTAAAAATTAAATTCCATCTAATCTTTTTGTTAGCTCCATATTCTCCAGAGACTGCCTCTAATAGAAAGCATTTGATTTGCTAAAGCTATATAGCATTTTCTTCCTGACAGTGAATATTAGGACTTTCTGTGGGGCATAGTGGAAATAAGCAGGGGAGGGGAATGAAATTTTTGATGTCCTTTGGGTACCTGTCCAAATTGGTTGTAGTCTTTTAGTTTTTTAGTTTATTTTTATTTTGTAAAAGGTTTTTTTCTAAGTTGACTAGAATGAGAATTTGCAATTTTGTATATTATTGTTTCGGACCAAATTAATTTCCATTTGTCTTTTTTGTCAAAATGAAGAACCTATTTTGGAGAATATTAACTCTGGAATTTCCAGTTGGAGGGGTTTTAGAAGTCTTAACTAGGTCTGAAGTCTAAACTGGGTTTGGTACCTTTACCTTACCCATAATTTTAAAATAAATCCATATTACTCACTGTTTTATTGCCTGTTCATGGGTTTTTCTTTGCAGTTTGTATTCTGTGAGAGTCAGCATGGAATGGATGACTAGCCACATGAAGAGGTAACAATTACACCTTACACCACCATTCTGATTCAAGGATCTTAAAACACATTTTAGTCCATTTTGTTTCCAAGTACATATTCATGTCTATTTTAAAGAAAGACAACCAGAGAAGAGGTAGGCATCTTGCCTGGGGTATCACATAGAACGACTGGGAGTTACAGAAATGGAATTTGGAAGGCAGATGATTCCAAAAGGACTGTGAGGCTGTCCAGTATATTCATGGAATTAGAGGACTCGCAGTCCCTTAAATGTTGAGTGGTAAAACCTCACGTTGACTCAACATTTTAATTTCTTCTCTAACATCCCTGTCTAGTGTTCGTCTTGATTCTAGTGATTCACTTACTCCTGGGGGAGCCTGTTCCACATAGTGAACTGCAAAATGGAAGATTAAAGCATTGCAGCCACATGAGCAGAAAGCTGCACTAAGTGATGTGAAAGCCAGTTTGCTGGTACACAGCCTACAGAGAGTTGGAGGACAGACCCCAAACTGAAGGTGGGTTCCTCTGGATTTTTAAATTTTGTGGTAAAGATGTATAATATAAAATTTACCCTCTGAGCCAATTTTATGTGTATAGCTTTGAGGCATTAAGTATATTCACGTTGTTATATAACCATCTTCACCATCCATGTTCGAAAATTTTTCTGTTCCCAAATTGAAATTCTTTACCTATTAAATAATAACTGACTATTCCTCCCTGCCCCCAGTCGCCAGCAATCATCATTCTACTTTGTGTTTCTGAATTCCACTTCTCTAGGGACATATTTAAATGAAATTATGGAATATTTGTCCTTTTATGTATTTTTCTTGGTACTAGGGCTCAAACTCAGGGCCTTCTCTAGTCCTTTTTGATTTCTTATTTTGAGATGATCTTGCTAAATTGTCCAGCCTGGGCTTGAATTTGTTATCCTTTTGCCTCTGCCTCCCAGAGTGCTGGGATTACAGGAATGTGTTAACATGTTTGGCTAATACTTGTCCTTTTGTGACTGGTTTATTTCACTTAGCATAATGTCTTCAAGTTTCACTCATGTTGTAGTACGTGTCAGAATTTTATTCCTTGTTTAGAGTGAATAATATTCTATTGTATGCATATACTACATCTTGTTCATCTATTAATTGGTCAATTGACATTGGGTTTGGGTTCTACCTTGTAAATATTATGAATAATGCCTCAGTGAATACAGATGGACACATCTCTTTGAGATCCTGTTTTCAATTTTTGAGGGGTACAGTAATAAAATGAATGGGTCGTATGGTAATTCAGTATTGAGTTTTGAGGAGTTGTCCTACTGTTTTCTACAGTGGCCATGCCATTTTATATCCCACCAGCAAAGCACACCATCCCAATGGATGTGCAGTGTTACATCATCATATCTTGGATTCCTTTTATTTTGGTGGAAACATCTGCAAATTTCTACCTTCTCATGAAAAATCAGATGATGGGCTTCAATTTTTTCATAGTATCAGTAGGTAGAGATGAATGGCTGCTGCCCTCTCTGGGTGTAGTAGAAAGTGCACTCACCTTCCAATGTTCTGTGCCACCTCTGATTGCAACTCTGTCTCACATTCCGCCTGCTGCACTTAGTTCCATATAGCATTTGAGTTTGCAACCAGTTTTTGAGCTGAAAAATATTAAAGATAAGATGTTATTGTGAAACATGAAATAAAGAAGATTGAGTAGGTGGCCTTTTTGCTTCCCCAGAATTATTCTCCTCAAGAGTAAAGAATAGAATCTTTTTGAAGGAACAATTGGAAGATTATAACAATATGAAGAGAGATATGTGAAATGTTCAACATTCAATCAACAAAAGATTTACTGAGCACCAACAATTTACCAAGTATTGTTCTCAACACTTGGAAGACATCAGTGAACAAAATAAACATAAACCTCTGCCCTGTCTTTGTAACACTTGTATTCTAATCTCAGCAGAGGTACAGAAAAATAAACCAAATCATAAGTAAATAAGAAAATTATATTGTATGTTAAAAAACAAGAAAAAATTATTAATTATATTTAATTACACCATGTGAGAATCATACCTAGTTTTAAAAAAGAAATGAAAATCTTAATAACTGTGTGGTTTTAAGATATTTTTTCTGCATTGCAAAATTTTAAGAACATTATCTTAATTTGGCAATTTAAAAATAAATTTAATATTTTGAAAAGAATAAGGAAAAGTAGTCCATCCAATTGTTGGGCACCAATTTTTTTTAATGAGAGGCTGAAAATAAATAAGCTGTGTTTGGCCATCTGGTGCCCCAAATTCAGAGGGTGAGATTTTGCTTCTAGGCTCAAATTCATTAATGCATTTTTTGACACTAAAAACAAAGCAAAGGTTGATAATCAAATGATCTTCAAGAAGACCTTATCTTCCACAGACAGGAACTCTCAGGGTTTAAAGTGGGCACATTATTTTTCCAGGAGTGAGACATATAATCTGAAATCCACATATACTTGTGCATCTTTAATATTGATAAAAATCCTGATTTAGTAGACATACTCTTGGCATATATATTTTTCCTTACTTTTCAATTAACCTTTATAGTATCTCCAATTTTAAATCATTCTGAAAAATATTTTATTGATGCATATGTGCATAATATCTATAGTATCTATTATATATATAACTTGATGAATTTATGCAAACTGAACAGACATGTGACATCAACATTAGATAAAGAAAAAGAACATTCAGTCCCTGAAAAAGCCTCCTTCAAATCACTGGGTCCCCAAAGCTAACCACTTTCTGGATTTTTGGCAGCATGCATGAGTTTTGCTTGTTTTGTGCTTTATATAAATGGAAGCATAGAATGTTTCCATTTGATGATACAATTTAAGTAGAACTATACTTGGAAAGCTCAAAATCACAAAATGATTCATATTCAGCTTCAAAGACATTTACTATTTGGTGGAAGGATGGTCTCCCACTTGCCTGCTGGTAAGAATAACCGAGGAATCATTAAGTTTCCTTCCCTGAAAACTCTAAATAGAGCAGGGCCTAGGAATCTGTATTCTTATCAGGGAATTTTGAGAAATTCCATATTTGGTGGCTAGGTAGTTGTATAACAGCACATAGAAAATGTTGATGAAGAGCTGAAAGTGTTAACTCAGCGCAATCAATCTGCTTGATAAAAATCAAGCAGAGCACTTGTTAAATACTAGAAGGATCCCCAGAGCTTCTCCACTGAGATTCCTACACTATAAAGCTGAAGTGGGTCCCAGGTGTGTATATTAACAAACACCCAAGGTTTGGGAAATATTTCACTAGATAGTTAAGACTCATCTATATTGGAACTGTATGATTGACCTTTGCTTTCTTTGGTCACTAGAGCATTGGCTAACATTTGGGGTGCTTTTCAAAATTCCATGGCTCCAGTAGTCCTACGTTAACAGTGCTTTTTATTTATAGTGTTTCTACTTATTAGAACTCAAGTACCAAAGCAGGCTGATGCTCAATTTTGGTGATTCCATTTACACCCTAACATTTAGTTTTTAAGTGAAAACCTTTCATTAGATCCTTCCCTAAACTGACAGATCATTGGGGCAATAGTATTGTATTTGTTTAATTTCTGGGCTGACTATGAGAATCATGTAGGTAAGTCTCGCCTTATGAATGGAAGGGGACACAGCAGTGGCCTGGTTCTACCCACATTTTTTTCTGTCTGGAAATGAAAAACTAGGTTGAGATATGTCCTATTAAGTTACTAAGACAAAAGAGGGGGAGTTACCTTCCAACTATTTCTTAAATGCTAACCAAGGCAGCAGCGTAAAAGGAGTGCAAACTGTTGTTCTACACGTTTGTGCTTGGACACTGAGTTATTAGAAGTAGGCAGTTACATCAACTTCATGTTTGTCACTGTGTGCCATTTACTTGCTCCTTGGAACAAAAGTGATACCATTGCTCGCTCTTTCTCTAGCTAGCAAAAAAGAGGCACATTGTTCTAGAAAGATGGGGTCTAAATTTGGGTTATGAGTCTAAAACTGCATATAATAAAATTCTCTTCAAAATGCAAGTTATTCCCCACCACAGTGGTTCTTAAAGTGTGGTCTGGGGATCCCCCAAGATCTCTCTAGAGGGTCTATCCGAGAAAAATTGTTTCCATAATAATATTAAGTTAAAAATTTAAAAGTGATGGTACACAATGCTGGAGAGTTTATGAAGAGACAAGGATTCTCACTCCCTGCTGATATAGCTATTGTTTCCTTATTCTAGCAAGTAATAAGAGCCTTAAAAATATGCCTAGCATTTTTGAAGCAATAATTACACTTCTGGTGGTATTTTTAAAGGAAATAATATCAAATATATTATTTATATTAGTAAAATGGGAAAAATCTAAATGTTCACAAATGCTTGAAAGGTTACATTAATTATTATATATCCATATAATGAAATGTTTTTCAGCCATTGAAAAGAACATTTGTAAATCATGTTTGATAGCATAGAGAAAGGGTTATATTATATTAAATGAAAAAGCATGGTTAAAATGTATAAACACTGATTTCAACTATAAAAAAGTATTGAAAAATATTGGTGTGAAATACATCAAAATTGTAATAATGGTTCTCTCCAGGTGGTAGGATTGTGGATGATTTTTATACTTTACAAATTTCTTGTAATAATCAATCTAATTTAATATAATGTAGTCAACAGTGCATTTTAGAGCACTGTACATATGGCTATAATTTAATGGACAAATAAAATGCCTAAAATTACATCTCAATTGTTAAACCATTGTAGGGACAAAATTAGAGAGACCCAATGGCATAAAGATCAGTCATAGCCCAGTGAGTCAATCTGTCTGAGTTTGACTTCTGAAGTGTGTGATTTATGATCAAATCGCTTAACTACAAAATATCAATGTCTTCTTGTATAAGGTAAGATAACAGTCTTACCTCAAAGGTGGTAGTCAGGATTAAATGTAATGTGTAAGTCTTAGCTTAGGACTTTGCATCTATCAACACTCAATAAGCATGAATTATTATTATTACATGTATCTACTTTATTTTTTTTTGGTACCAGGGATCGAACTCAGGACCTTATGCTTGCGAGGCAGGCGGCAGAACCACTGAGCTAAATCCCTGGCCCATGTATCTACTTTTTTGCTCAAACATCTTTCAGAAAAGAAA